TTTAAAGCCAGTTTTGATAAGTTAACAGTTATTTGATAAGGAAGGGGTTTCCCAGGAACCCTGGGTCCAAAGGATGTGCTCTGCTCCAGGCACTGCTTTCTTGGTGGTTTGAGGTCCTCCTGTCTCCCTACTAGCTTCTCTCTTTTATATCCCTAAAGAAATTGGCTCAAGACACAATCCAATCTTGTAGATTGAGTCCTGCGTTGTTAACATAACTGCCGCCTATGCCCCCTCATTAACATCACAGAGGCAGGATTTACAACACACAGGAAAATCACATCAAATGACAAAATGGTGGACAATCACACAATACTGGGAACCGTGGACTAGCCAAATAGATAACACACATTTTGTGGGGACACAATTCAATCCATGACACTGGGCAAGAGTTTCCCGGAACTTATAGTGAAGTCATATTGAGGTAAGTGGGCCTAGTTCTTACTTCTGATAGTTAAGCCATGTGACTGCAGGTGGTTTCAGTTCTCACTTGTGTTACTGTATATGTTTTTCCATTAATGTGGTACATGTAGTTTGTTACATTTCTGCCTTATACCTTATTGTTTTGGTTGCTATTTGTAAATTGTCTCTTTTATAAAATTACATTTTTTGTATATTTTGCAGTTGTATAGGTTTGCATTGATTTTTATATGATACTCTTGTCATAGATATTACTGAATTTTCTACAGAGATAATCATCTACAGATAATGAATTTTATTTGTCCTTCAGTTTATTTCTTTGTCTTAACTTACTAGAATCTTCAATAGAATGTTGAATAAAAGTGGTGATAGTGGATGTGGCAGAGACTTTTATTGCTCACTGACTATTCAAGCACTCTCCTGTATTTCTGAGCCCCCTTGCAGGTAGATGGGACCTAGTTCTAGCCACTGGACTGTGAATGGAAATTATGTAGATCTCTTCCAGGGTGAATTGGTATTTATACTCTCTTTTATCTTGTTACAGTGACAATGAGACCTCATGTTCTAGATGGTGTAGCTGTGAGTTCTTCAGAGTGTCCCATCAGCTCAGGCCTTGGGCAATTTTGTGAAATATAAATTCTCTTGCCAACCTGCATTACCATAAAGCAGAGGGAAAAATAACCTTTGTTATGTTAATCCACTAATTTTCAAACTTAATTTGCTACTATAGCATAGCCTAATATGCTGCAGCATAGACTAATATAATGTGTATTCTTGCCTTTAATAAGAACATGTCTTTAATAGGATCATGTCTCAGGTTTCACAGGTATGAATATTATTTACAGTAGGTTTTTGTTAGATTTAGCATGTTAAGGAAGTTCTATTTGAAATTCCTTGTTTGCAAATATACGTTTTTTTTTTGGTCACGAGTATATGTTTAATATTATCAAATGCTTTTTTTCTACATCTGTTGATGGTAATATTTTTCTTGGTGAATTAATGGATTTTCTAATGATAACCCATTCTTGTATTCTTTGAATAAATACAACTTGATCATGTTGTATTCTCTGTCTTTTAACATTGCTGGATTTAGTTTTTTAATATTTTATTTAAGATTTTTTTATACAGGTTTCCCCCACTATCTGAAAGGAGAGCATTCCTATGAAATCTTTCCTAAGCCAAAATGGCGTACAGCGAAGAAGCAATTACATTAATTATGTGGGTAAAATTTTTAAGTATTCCCAGGCCCAAAAACTAACCTACCAAATCATATTAAATAACACATAAAACCTAAAATAACTCTAATGTATAGTATAAGCAGGAATGCACAAAATAAATCTAGATAAAGTACAGACGCTCACAGAGTTCAAAGCTATGGTAGCTTGATGCTGAGATGCTGAGTGTAGTTCCTGAAGAAGGAGCTTGGTGACACCACTCTTACTGTTCGGGGTGCATGCTGCCTCTTTAACAGCTTACTGCAGAACAAATGCTGAATGCTATTTCTGCTTTTCACCTTTCTTCAGATTTCTTTCAGTTAGTGAAAACAGGTACTAATGTAGGTCTTTCGCAAAAGCAAAGTGGCGCAAAGCGAACTTTTGACAAGTGAGGGATACCTGTAGATGATCAGAAGTGAGGTGTCCTATAATTATCCTTTCTTCTATTTTTCTTGAGTGGTTGTGGTACCATTGTTCTGATCATATCATAAAATTAGTTGGGGGATGCAGTTTTTTTTTCCAGAACAGTTTGTCAATCTGTTCCTTAGCCGCTGTATTGGATTGTTGATAAATTGTATCTCTTGGACTTTCCTTATAGGAATCTTGTGAGGCTTGAACTATGGGAGTTTTCTATTTGTCTCTGCCATAGATTGTTCATATGCCACTGGCCTTGGACCTTGTTGCTTAATAGCTGTTTGACTTTGCTTAGTTTCCTTGCCGTTGAAATGGTTAAGCACTCAACTACTAGCTATAAGGTTGGTGGTTCAAACCCATCTAGAGGCACCTTGGAGGACAGGCCTGATGATCTTCTTCCGAAGGGTCACAGTGTTGAAAACCTATGGAGCAGTTCTGCTCTGCACAAACGGGGTCACCATGAATTGGAGTTGACTTAACGGCAACTAACAACAACAACATAAGATTTTTGTGAGAGTTAAGTTAATTGTCTGTATCACTGCATAGAACGGTGGTTTGAGAGGGGAAAGACTTTTCCCCCAAGAATTGATGTGTTTTGGAATTACTTTTGTATTTTTTCATTACATTATTTTAAGATTTCTTCTAAATTCTTCTTCAATGTGAAGAAAGGATATCTTTCTTAAACCAAATAGTTGAGCATATGGATTTTTAATTTAGATAGGATAGGAATTGGTCATTTATTTGACATAGGATGAAATGGTTAAGCGCTTGACTACTAGCCCCAAGGTTGGCAGTTCATACCCACCCAGAGGCACCTTGGGAGACAGGCCTGGCAGTCTGCTTCCAAAAGATCACAGCCTTGAAAATCCTATGGAACAGTTTTTCTCTGTACACATGGAGTCGCCATGAGTTGGAATCGACTCGATGGCAACTAATAACGGCTCTAGGCAAAACTGAGGAATTGATCTCAGTTACCGATATCTGCTTCTCTCATTATTGAAACAAACAAACAACAACAACAACAAACCAAACCTATTACTATGGAGTCAACTCCAACTCATGGCGACCCCGTGTGTTACAGGGTAGAACCGTTTCGTAGGGTTTTCTTGGCTGTAATCTTTATGGAAGCAGATCGCTAGACCTTTCTTCCTTTAGGTTAGTAGCTGAGTGCAAACCATTGGTGCTACCACTCAGGGAACATTTGAAGCAGAACCATACTTTATTCTTACCCTCCTCTAAGTAGTATCTATTCTGCATTTCTTTTCTATAATCCTTTTTCTCAACTAATCCCATTTGAATTATTTGTATTTATTTCTGAAATCTCATGCCCCATGACAAAGAAGTTTTAGAGCATGGTATGTAATTCCTGGCACTAAGTAGGCTTTAAAAAATATTTTTCAGTAAGTGAATTTTTGGTTCTCATTATACTTAGTGATTAATTCTCTCTTCTACTGATTTGACTTTGAAGTTCCTATAAGTATAAAAATTTTATGGCCATTAATATTATTTAACTTACTAATTTATTATGTAAGCAACTTGAATATTATTTCATTAAGTATTGTATAACCAAACCACTATCAAAGATTTGAAAAATGTGTCATTAATTACAATGAATTTAGTGTATGAGACTTCCTTTATTATACCTATAAGAGTTCAGATTGGTTAAGAGTGTTTTTTTTAATCTTGATATATTTCAGCATTTGCAATATTGAAATTGTTACATTCCTGAGATCTTAGAAAGGGCCTCTAAAAGGAACTATTTCCATAAATGTAAAAAATGCCGAAATATAAAGATTTCTATAAATAGAGGAAATAAATATTATTGCCTTTCATTATTTAATAAATATTATTGCCTAGCTCTCTGCTAGGTGTTTTTACTGATTTTATTTATTTAATTTTTGTGTTAAACCTATTGCTGTCGAGTTGATTCTGATTTGTAGCGACCCTATTAGACAAAGTAGAACTGCCCGCATAGAGTTTCCAAGGTGGAAACAGAAACAGACTGCCACATCTTTCTCCCGTGGAGTGACTGGTGGGTTCGAACTGCTGACCTTTCAGTTAGTAGCCAAGACATGTAAAATTATTTCCCTGGTTTATATATGAGGCAACGAAAGCTGTTGTTGTTGTTGCTAGGTGCCGTCGAATCGGTTCTGACTCATAGTGACCCTATGTACAACAGAACAAAACATTGCCCCACTCTGCGCCATCCTCACAATTATTGTTATGCTTGAGCCTTTTGTTGCTTAGAAAGGGTAAATGACTTGCTCAGGGTCCCAAAACTGCAGGAATTTGAACACAGATCTTTGTACCCTAAGATTGGAAATGGAACTCTTCTGTCATGAGCCAAAGAGTTTGATTTTTGGAAGGGAATAAGTAACCTAGGGAAAACTCAGAAGGGCTATGGAAAAGTCTTAAGCCAAGGCTTAAGTTTCAAAGTTTCAGTTGGTTTCTGACCAAAGACCTACCCCCTTATTTATATTCACCTAGTCCCCATTTAGATCTAAAGTTAGGTGCTTTCCACACCAAATACTTGGATTCCATAGAAAGAATATATCCCAACTGTGTTCCCATTGTATAATTACTTGTTTATGTATTTAGTTGTAATTTTCTTCCTCATTGTTACATGGTTACTTGTCTTTATGTCTATCTCTCATTCTGGATTGTAACTTGAGGTCTCCTGTTATATTTATCTGTGATTGCTGTCCACTGCCTTCTTCAGTACTTTAGATAATGTGGAATGAACAATTTAGAAGAATTTAATATTTAATTTTTAAGTGATAAAAATGACTGCTACATTCTGAAATTTACCTTCAAATATAGCTGTGGCATTATACTTGAGTTTTTGTTTTTTACTTTTATAGAAGAGCGTGTGTGTGTGTGTGTGTGTGTGTGTGTGTACATATATACATATTACTATATATATATTGTTATATGCATATATAATACTTTAAACAGCTTGTCAGAGCACCCCATGGGAGAGACTTCGATGACTCTTTGGAAAGGTGTGATGAGTATTTGAACACAAGGCCATGTAGCAAGCCCCAGCATTCAGCGAGGACATTACTAGTCCATTCAGCACCCTCAACGACGCCTAAGCATTCGCCAAGCCCTGTGTTAAACCGAGCTTCTCTCAGGGAAAGGTACTGTGTGGTCTCTGTTTCTGTATTTACCTTTTGAATAATCAGCATTAGAAAAGGGAAGGCCGCAATTCTACATGTGATGTGAAGGCTACTCTTTGTAAAAGTTTAATTTGATTCTAAGAGATTTACTTAAATTGGTTTCATTTAGAACATATTACACAGTATTAAATGCCCCTTCCTAGCCCAGTTCTCTAAAAGTCAATTAACTAGATATAGGTCACTTTAATTAAATACTGTAGCTCTTAAAAGTGAAAAGTGGTAGTATGTAATAGTTTTACTTTTTAGTGGCTACATAGCTTATAATATATTCATAGTGGCATAGTATTTTAAGCATGCCTTAAGTATACCAATAGCATAGATTGTATTTTCCTTTTAGTTACAGTGGTGATGCTTTCTGTTGTTGGTATATGGTATCTAGTTTCCTCAATTAATCTCCTCCCATGTGAATCTTAATCATGTAAATATTCCAGCTCTCCCTCTAAAAATGCAACCAAAGTCTGATACTTGTTAAATTCAGATATGAAAGAAACAATTCCTCTGTCATATCTCTCACTCTCTTTTTTGTTGTTGTTGTTTTTGTTGATTGAAATGGGAAATTCCTTACTCTCTCCCAGATAGCTAGTAACATAGAAAACAAGAGTTGTCATAAATTAAAAAAAAAAAACAAAAACCCTGGGTGTTAAAAAAAATTACAGAAATTTGAAAGCCTAAGAGATACACAGTCAACAACCTAGAAATCAGGCAGTTTTTACATATAGGATCAAAAACTAATATAGCACAGTAAACTCCTGCAGTGTATTAGGGCCATCAGACATAGTTAACAAAGTTTAAATTAACTGTAGAGAGTACCAACAATTCAGCTTAAGAGCATGTCAGTTTGGAGACTGTATTAAAATATCACTGTTCTGAACCAGTAAATTTATTTCCTCATCAACCCTCTAAGCACTGAAAATGCGTACACGGAGGTATGTTGGAGACCCTAATCCTGAGATACGGACTTTTGATTTCTGTTGCTTCTAGTCCATTTGAATCATGCCTAAGGAGATCGTTGAGTTCTTAGGCTTGTATATATAAGCTTTAAAGTTTAGTAGTTAGAAAGAAACTTCTTGAAGAGAGGCTTTTCTGCTGAAATCTGGTAACTTGCATCTCAGTCTCAGGGGACTTTCCTAGGTTTAGGTGTCTGCTCCAATGTTGAGGCATTTAGCTGGTGCCTACCTTCCTTATATCTACTTTTAGAATTAAGCACTTGTAGTTTTGTGGATTAGGTCCTTTGCCATGTCTATAAGTTTTCAGTAGTTTTTTTTAGCTCCTTTTATAAATATCTGTATCTTGTTTTATAAATATTGTTTTATTTTTCTACCTTTTCACGTATTTTGCAGAACTCTCCTTATAAATTTACCACTATAGTACAATATCAGTTTTAGTCCTGTGTTACTTTATTCTCGTGTACCATTTTGGCCCAGCTGGGAGCCTGTTCTATCCAAGTTGATAAATTCTTCAGTGAGGCTATATTCAAAAATGCTTCATTGAGGATAGGTAAAGTCAGCTATCCCTTTATTCATATTTCAGTGCAGGGAATGGCTTAGAGTAAACAGTGGCATTTTGCACATTATTTTCATGCTGAATAGTAGATATGGATAAGTGCTCCTTTGCTAGAAGGAAATCAGTATTTCTGATATTAGACATTCCCTATTTTGCTTATAGCTCGAGGGCAATTGAGGTGCTTCTAAAATAAAAGAATATAATGACATCTTATTTCTGAATTTATCTAAATAAATTTTTTTAAAAATTTGGTTCACTCTCTGGGGCAGGCACAGTAAATAAAGATTTTATTTTCACTAAGGCAGAACACCTCTAACTTGAGTGTATTTTCAGAAAAAATCTAAATTTAGTGTTTAAATTAAAATAAAACATTTTAAAGACATATTACTAGGAACAAAAATATTTTTTTCAGTACACTAAGGGCCACATCTTTAAATATAAGACATTCTTTCATCTGGCTTTTCCTAGGTCACTCAGCAGTGTACTTATAGGATGTTTATATAATCCATTGAAATTGATAAACAGTTTAAACTGATGGAACTGTGAATTGCATGTCCCAGGAAAAATTGGAAGTATGACAGAACATATACTATAGGAGTTTATCTGGGCACATATTCATTAAAATTAAATAAGTGTTCTTTAAGATTGTAGTAAAATGCCAATATCTTAATCATGTATATGAAAAAACAGAGTTTTTAAAAACTCTATCAGTGACTTTCAGCAAATTAATTCCTATATTTATAGTGAAGGTGCTTTTTGCTTTAAGCCCACTTTAAAAAAAAAAACCTGCCAATAGAAGTTAGCACATCATAAAATGATTTCAATTTAGATTACAAGTGTTAGTTTCAGAAGCAGTTTTCTTCGCAAGGTGGTATAAATATTATGACTTAAAATTTGCGTTAGGCTTTATAGTTCTTATTAAAATTAGACTTAAGAGATTCTAACAAATCTAATTAAAAAAGAGCTGATAACTCTTTTTAATCATGCTTAAGGTTTAGATTTTTATAATTTACAGATGGTAGGCAAACATTCCTTATACCACAGCACAGACTAGTGGATCCTCTAATAGTATCATTGAAGAGATCCACTTGGAGTTACATATTTGGGTCTCAGATTTCCAAGATGTGCCATATATATAGCAGATAACAAAATCTGCCAGTATATTTTCATTGGTGCATTTTCCAAATGCAGAAGATTAAGTTTTAGATACAGTTGATTATCCATTTTTGATTGTGTTCTTTAAAACATATGTAAACAATTTATCCTGCTTAATAGGGCTTGCCACAAGTCAGAATGGACTGCATAGCAACTAACAACAATGGTTTATACTTTGTGTAACCTATAAAATTGTAACTTTATAAGAACATATTGGAAGAAAAAAAGGCAAAAGTTTAGGCAGTATGTTAGCACTTCAGTCATTGCTTTATAAAGGAATTATCAATAATACTTTGTATAGATGCATCATAATCAGATGGCTATGCACATTTTATTTATTTGTATAAGACGAAGTGGCTTAAATATATTAATACCGGTTTTGAGTCTGAGAAGAGCATAAGGGAGAGGAGATGGATGATTTATTTCTTCTTGGAAATCTTTAATTCCAACCTTCAGACTCTCTAATACAAGTCTCTAGAATACTCATATTATATTTTTATTTCCTATTTTTCAATAAATATATATATATATTTTAAAATAGACTTAGAGAATAGAGTGGTGATATCATCTGTGTTGGAGAGTGGACTATTCAATTTCTATAGTCCCCTGTATTCTGAAAGAGTAAGAACATGGTTGGATTCTAAGTAATATTTTTACATATTATACACAGTTCATTTGATTTCATAAAATTAGTTTTGTTTTTATGTACACAGGAATTTCTTCCACATACTCTTACTATGATTAAATTACCAGAGAATAGGAACTAAGTTTAAAAGTGCTGTGTATAGAATTACCATTCTAATATGAAAATCTATACCTTTACTTAGAGATAAAGCTCTAAAGAATTATTTATGGAAATCGTTAAAATGGTAAGATATATAGATATGTTCTCCCAAATGCATGTCCAGCTTTATTGTTAAGACTGTTTATTGAACATATTGCAAAGACTTAATACTACAGCTGAGAATCAAGAGCTAATACCTGGTTTTATGCCCATCTCCTCTAAGACAAGGAAAGAAAATATGCTATTGTGTATATGTTGTCAAATAGGGATTAGAAAAAATTGACCTTCTGAATCTAGCATTTGGGAATTGGGAAAGATTTGTTTTTCTCTCCCTCTGGCTACAAGTCACCTTTGCTTTTTATGCCTACAGATTCCATTCTGATTGGTGTTCACCTTCAAACTGTGATGAGATCCATGACCGGGTAAAAAATGTCTTGAAATCACACCAGGCTCATCAAAGACATTTATATGTTAGTTTCTAAAATTTTCTCTTGAAGACTTTTTATAAAAGGGTTGGGGGGAACCACCCAGATGCTTAAAGCTTGCAATATTTAGTTACTGGGAAGAAAAAAGAAAAAAAGAAACTTCCATTTGATACAAGTCAATGCTTTGGTGAAAGGCAGCATATCTAACTTCCTCCTTGACCTGAATCATTATGCAAAACGTTTGACACAGATCATCTCGACTATAAACAATGTTAGTGATAATTATAAAGAGTAAGTAGTGATTTTATGATAATTATTTTCACAGCCTTCAGATATGGGAACTCTTGTTTTGTGGCCCAGTATAAAGCAATTCCATTTGCTGCAAATAGATTTGATTCTAAATGGTAGCACCAGGGAAGGGGTGTGTGTGAGAAATCTGTACTTTGAAGAAGCTTCCCAGCTGATTTTTATGTTAATTAAATATTTAAAAGAGGAGAAGAGCTGGTCAGGTTTATCAGGTTTAAAGTTAGAGAACATCAATGTGAGAATATTTTCTGAGTTAAAACGAAGAAACATATACGTGAATGACTGCTGGGAAATAATGAAAATATCTTCTTTCTGTGTTTGATTGCTTCTTCATTAATTAAAACAAAACGAAACACACAGTCATTTATCTTCACTATCATGTTGGGCACTGAACTTGGCCTGTGGGTATAACTGGATTATGTGACCTTGGAATCAATGTGTAGATTTTTAAATTTCTACATGAATACTATTTTTATTAAGTTTGTTTTCAAATCATAATGTACATGTAGAAAATGCACAAATCATAAGTAACAGCTTGATAAATTGTAATCATATGAAGAGACTTAGGTAAACTCTCTATCAGGTTAAGAAATAAAACATTACCACCTCTAGAGAAAGCCCTTCCTGTCTCCTCCCAGCCACTATGACTCCAAGGGTAAGTTCTACCAACAGCAAGATTAGTATTGCATGTTTTGATCTTTATATAAATGGCATCCTTTTTATGTCTGTCCTTTTTATTTTGCCTGACTTGTTTCCCTCAACACTGTTTTTATAATTTGGACATTTTGTTGTATGTAGCAACAGTTCTTCAGTCTTGCCTGCTGTATGATATTTCATCGTGTAAAAATACTATTTATCCAATCTGCTAGTGGACATTTAGGTGGTTTCTGATTTGAACTATTATGGATGGAGCTGCTGTGAGCAGCTTAGACATATCTTTGGGTAACATTGTATACATTTTATTTGGGTAGATACCTATCAATGGAATTGCGTAGTCATAGGGTATGTGTATATTCAGTGTCGGTAGATACTGCCAGAGAATGTTCCAAGTGGTTTTAGCAGTTTGTACTCTCACCGTCAAGTATGCGCATTCTATTTGCTCCATGTCCTCTGATACTTGACTGGTTTTTTGTGTGTGTGCGCATGCATGTGTGTTTCATTTTGGCATTCTGATAGGTAAAAAGTAGTTTTTCATGTAATAGTTCTAATTTATAGTTTCCTCATAACTAATGAATGTCAGCGCTACTTTGTATGTTGGCCGTTTGGCTACCCTGTTATGTGAGTGCCTGTTCAAGTCATTTGCCCATTTTTCTACTGGGTGGTCTACTTTTCTCTTACTAGTTTGTTAAGATTTCTGTATAGATTCTTGATAAAAGTTCTTAGTCAGATGTATTTCAGTTTTCCTTTCCCACTCTGTTCCTTGCCTTTCATTCTCTTAATGGAAATATATCAAATTCATCTTTTTTTTTTTTGGCAGGGGAGGGAGGTCTTTTGGATGATCAGTTTTAGAATTTTTGCTTACTTTAAGACCTTCCTCCTATGTTTTCTTCTAAAGGCTTTTTGTTTTCTTTCACACTTAAATATATGATTTATTTGGATTTTTTTTTTCTTCAGTATAAGTTTCGGTAAATGGCAAGTTTCAAGAGAGGTATCTCAAATCTCCATGGATTTGTCTAGTTTTCTTTTTAGTTCTGTTAATTTTATTTTACATATTTTGAAGCTGTGTCATTAGTTGGCTACATATTTCAGACTGTGATATATGCCTAGTAGATTTGACCTTTTGTTTTAAAATGCCCTTTATCTCTAATAATACTCCTTGCTCCACAATGTATTTTATCTTTGATTTTCTGTTCAGTAGTTTTACTGTGATAAACCTGTATGTAATTTTCTTGGATTACTTTTGACTTAATATTACAATATTCTTATATTTGTAGGTTGATGTCTTTCATCAGTTTTGGAAAACACTTAGCCATTTTTCTTTAAACATTACTTCTGCCCTAGTATCTACTCTCTTTCTGGGACTCCCAGTTACACTTATGTAAAGTATGTAGACTGTGTCTCACTTATGTAGACATGGTCTCACATGTATTTTATCTTATTTTGATAATAAGAAACATGTTTTCATTCTTTTTTATCTCTCTTCTTCAGTTTGAATATTTGTTTTTGAACTGTCTAGTTTGCTAATCCTGTCTTCTGCTGTGTTTATATTAATGTTAAAACTATCTATTTGAAATGGACCAACTCCTTGGAAGACACAAGCTACCAAAAATAGATACATCAGTAGTTGTGTATCTATTAAAGGAATCGAATTTGTATTTAAAAATATTCCACTCATAACATGGATGAAACTGGAGGACATTATGCTTAGTGAAATAAGTCAATCACAAAAGGACAAATATTGTATGAGACCTCTATTGTAAAAACCCATGAAAAAGTTCACACACAAAATGTAACAATCTTTGTTGGTTGCCAGGGATGGGAGGGGTGGGGGTGGGGGGGAATACTAAATAGGCAATAGAGAAGTGGTATCTTGGGTGAAGGGTGAGACAGTACACAATACAGGGGAAACCAGCACAACTTGTACAAGGGAAGGTCATGGAAGCTCCATAGACACATCCAAACTCCCCGAGGGACTGAATTGCTGGGTGGAGGGCTGTGGGGACCATGGTCTCAGGGAACATCTAGCTCAATTGGTATAACACAGTTTATAAAGACAGTTCTACATTCTACCTTGGTGAGTAGCGTCTGGGGTCTTAAAAGCCTGTGAGCGGCCATCTAAGATACTCCACTGGTCTCATCCCTCCGGGAACAAGGGAGAATGAAGAGAACAGGACACAAGGAAAAGATTAGTCCTAAGGACTAATGGACCACAGCTACCAAGGCCTCCACCGGACTGAGTCCAGTACAGCTAGATGGTGCCTGGCTACCACCACTGATTGCTCTGACCAGGATCACAACAGAGGGTTCTGGACAGAGCTGGAGAAGGTTGTAGAACAAAATTCTAACTCACAATAAAAGACTAGATTTACTGGCCTAAAGGAGACTGGAGAAACCCTGAGAGTATGGCCCCCAGAGACCCTTTTAGCTCAGTGGTGAAGTCATTTCCGAGGTTCACCGTTCAGCCAGGGAGTGGACAGCCCCATAAAACCAAATGGGACTAATGAGGCACAGCAGTCCAGGGACAAGCGCCAGAAGGCAGAAGGGGACAGGAAAGCTGGTGATAGGGAACTCAAGGTTGAGTAAGGTTAGTGTTGATGTGTTGTGAAGTTGTTAACCATTGTCATAGGGCAACACGTGTACTGTTCAATGAGAAACTATTTTGTTCTGTAAGCCTTCATCTAAAGTGAGAATAGCAGCACAACTGGAAAAGTGTAGTCGATGTCACTGAACTGTGCATGTAGAAATTTTTGAAATGGTATATCTTCGGCTATGTGTATTTTCACCAAAAAAAAAAAAAGGTCGAGAAGGGAGAGGGTTGACATGTTGTGGGGTTGTTAACCAATGTCATAAAACGATATGTGTGCTACTGTTTCATGAGAAACTATTTGTTCTGTAAGCCTTCACCTAAAGTACAATAAAGAAAAAAAAATATTCCAAAGAAGAAAACACCAGGTCCAGATGGTTTCTCTGATGAACCCTACCTGACCTTTAAGGAAAACTGTACCATTGTTACACAGTCTTTTCCTGAAACTAGAAGAAAGAAGCAAACTTCCCAACCTATTTTGTGAGGTCAACATTTACCCTAATACAAAATTACAAAAAAACTACAGACCATGTTCCTCATGAACATGTAAACAAAAATCCTCAACAAGATATTAGCAAATCAAATCCAGCAATATATAAAAATGAGAGTAAATCATAATCAAGTGTGCTTATTTCAGAAATGCAAGACTGATTCAACATTCAAAAATCAGTGTAAATCCATCCTAATACAGATTAAATAAGGAAAAGCATATGATCATTTCAATAGACACAGAAAAAGCCATCGACAAAATTTTTAACACCAATTCATGACACTCACAGCAGACGAGGAATAGAAAGAAGTTTCCTTAACCTTATAAAGGACATCTGTGAAAATCATACAGCTAATATTATATGTAATGGTGAAAGACTGAATGTTTTCCCCCTTAATTCAGGAACAAGACAAGAATGCCCTCATTTACCACTCCTTTTAACATCACCCTGGGAATCTTTTATGGTCCAGTAAGGCAAGAAAAAGAAATAAAGGGCATACAGGTTGTTGTTATGTGCTGTCAAGTCAGTTCCGACTCATAGTGACCTTATAGGACAGAGTAGAACTGTCCATTAGGGTTTCCTAGGCTAAAATCTTTATGGGAGCAGATTGCCAGGTCTTTTCTCCCACAGAGCCACTGGTGATTTTGAACCACCAGCCTTCTGGTTAGCAGCTAAACACTTTAACCATTGTACCACCAGGACTCCTTATACAGGTTAGAAAGGAAGAAATAAAACTGTATTTGCAGATGATATGATTGTCTATATAGAAAATCCCAAGGATCTATAAAAAAAAAACTCCTAGAACTAATAAGTGAGTTTAGCAAGGTCGCAGAATACAAGGTCAATACACAAAAGTCTATTACGTTTCTATATACCAGCGATGAACAATTGGAATTTGAAATTAGAATGTCCATACCATTTACAGTACCAGAAACCAACCAAACCTGTAGCCATTGAACCAATTCCAACAAACTAGCAAGTAGCAGCAGAAATTGAAGTACTTA